CACACACACACACACACACACACACACACACACACACACACACACACACATTATGATGGTGAAAATACCACATCGCAGATGAAGCAGGTCAGCTCAGAGGTGTGTTGTGTGCGTCGTGCAGATCGACCAACTGAAGCAGGAGCTGTCAAAGAAAGAGTCGGAGCTGCTGGCTCTGCAAACAAAGCTAGAGACCCTCAACAACCAGAACTCGGACTGCAAACAGCACATCGAGGTGCTCAAAGAGTCACTCACTGCCAAGGAGCAACGTGCTGCCATCCTGCAAACAGAGGTAACACAAGAAACACAGACTTACAAACATTGCATCTGTCTTATCGTGAAACTGAGCAAACAATGTGATGCTGAAGATCAAATCACACCAGCATGTTGGAGAATTTTAAGTGAATGGTAAGTCGGGATGCTGCCCACTAAATGTTGCAAAATAATGAAACAAAAAACCAATAAATCAAATGATGTAAAAACTACCACATCCATGTTTCTGCTTCAGTTGCATGAGGAATAATGTGACAGTTCAAATCTTTTCAAGTGTTCTTTAGGAAAGTTTTAAGATATAATTATCTTACCTGGTGTACATAGCTCTTTGATTGACCTCATTTTGGAGAAAGAGGATAGCTAATGTTTGAGTTGGGCCAAAATTAATGGAGCTTTTCATCTTATTACAACTTCAGTAGAAAAAAATGTTATGGAAGTTCATGTCTGCGCTGTTTTATAAATTCCTACAGCACTGTTTCACATTTCATGGTGTTCCCTGCAGAAATATGGTGATATTTCTGCTGGAAGTACCCCAAGCTGGACAAAAGCTGCTACAGCTAGCTGCTTGTCCTTGCAAATTACCAAAAACTCCTACATAAACAGCTACGTATTGAGAAACTGAACGCAATGTAATGGTTTAGAAATCAGTGTTTGTATCTATTGCAATTAAATTTTTGATAATTCTTCTCAAAATAGCTTGTCAGCTTGACAAAAGTAATTGCTGTTTCATCAAACTGATGTTCAAAGAGCTTTCCACAACAGGTAAGATATTATTGTTATTTTGTTCTCAACCTTTTCAAATAAACCCACTCCAAAAACATCTAAACTGTCCTTTGAAGGTAAGCCGGCACGATTCAAACTTGTTTTACTAAAAGATGGTGCGTACTTCTGTCCGTGGCTGCATTGTGCTTCAGGTGGATGCCTTACGTCTGCGTCTGGAAGAGAAAGAGTCGTTCCTGAACAAGAAAACCAAACAGCTTCAGGACCTGACAGAGGAGAAGGGAACGCTCGCCGGAGAAATCAGAGACATGAAGGACATGCTGGAGGTCAAAGAAAGGAAGATTAATGTCCTGCAGAAAAAGGTAGGAGCTGCGTTTTTAAGAATGAAAACATGAATCTCCAAACAGTGGATATTGTAACATTAACTACTGACAGTGGAGTGTAGCTTACAGGTGTAATTTTAGCCTATGATGCCTGAAATGTCAGTGATTCAGTTTCAGTTTTGTCATATTTCTGGACAAATTCAGCCACTAAAAAGTGTTTACTCTCTTCATGACGAGTGAGAGTGTTTGTTGTGCTCAGGAGAGTTGTGTCCACAGAAAGACAAGCAGAAAGAAATAATTTCTGCCTCACTAGCACTTGTCTGTGTGTGTTTGCTATAAATACTCACCGAGTGTTACGCTGTGTTTTACTCTGACCTGCTCACACATGATCCCATTTTATCTCCCTTTTTGCAAGTTATTTTTCTCCTGATGCGAATATTTGATGTTTGTTTCTGACTCTTAATGAAATGTAATGATTATACATGATTTTAAAGTACACATTTGGTTGAAACAACATATCTATGTCACCTTGTTTCAGGTGAAGGCTTGTCTGCCTCTTAAACCACATCCTGTGTGCTTTAGAATATAAATGTTTCAGAGTCAACAAATCTGGCTGCTAAATTGCTCAGCTTGCAGTCAAAGTTTTGACGCAACAAACTCTGACAACAGAGTCCCTGAGCTGTTAGAGGTAAAATCTTATGATAAGAAAGAAATAGAAAACATTTGACTAAAATCTGCACCAGTTTGTCTCCTCGGTTGACAAACTGACAGTGTTGTTAAGACAGACTGATGTAACACAGTGGTAACTTCAATAAAATAATAAAAAAAACTCCCACTGCTTTCTGAAAGATGGTGCTGGGATCAAAATGACACAAACTTTTTTTTTGCCCTGTTTTTCTCACAATCCCAACTATTCTGAGGCATAAACAACAATAAATTAACTTTTCAACTACGGATTGGTAATTGTGATTTGTTTTGAAGTAGACTATAGATACAAGGCTCCTTCCAGTGTTTTGTTTATTATTTTATATTTGAATAATATTCTTATTCAACTGAAAAGATTTTATTGCAAAACAGTAATTTTCCAAGATTTTAAACTCAACTCAGGTTCTCACGTTACTCTTTTGCTGGGTTTTTTTTCCGCGTCAGATTGAGAACCTGCAGGAGCAGCTGAGAGACAAAGACAAGCAGCTGGGGAACCTGAAGGACAGAATAAAGTCTCTGCAGACCGACTCCAGTAACACAGATACTGCCCTGGCCACCCTGGAGGAGGCGCTGTCAGAAAAGGTGCGCTTCAGTCCAGCAGCATCAGGAGGAGAACGTTAGGATAACATGTAACATTTTACCCTYCTGACAAACCTGACTAATCCAATGCTAAGCTAGGTTAGCATCATACATTTTGTAGAGTGAAGTGGGTTAAAATGGGCTTTATATTGTCAAATCATGTAATGATAAATGATTTAGCATAAATTCTAAAAAGAATATAAAATCAATTATACTGTTTTAAAATGGTATGTCTGATATAGTTACTGTATTTTAAAATTATAATGACATGTATTCCAGCTTTAGACTGGTTTTAAAGGATAAAGAGTTCTGCCCATTTTAATTTTACATTTTAACTAAACCTAACTTTTTTGTGCGAATGTTTTATATCTTTTTCATTTTGTTAATGTATGAATCCTATAAAGAAACCTGAACATGTCTGTGTGTCAGGAGAGAATAATAGAGCGATTAAAAGAACAAAGGGAGAGGGAGGACAGAGAACGCCTGGAAGAGGTGGACCTGTATAAGAAGGAGAACAAGGAGCTAAAGGAGAAGGTCAACAGCCTGCAGATAGAATTAACAGAGAAAGAGGTCAGTGTGTCTGCATGGCTGTAGCTTTGTGTTTCCCTCTCTCTCTCTTTCAGTCAGCCTTCGTTTTGTCCTCTGGCCCTGTGTTCCACCTGCTGACAGGCTGCTGGGTTTGTTCTAACCGTCTGTGTTCACTCTTTACCTGCAGTCCAGCCTCATCGATCTCAAAGAGCATGCATCGTCTCTGGCGTCCTCCGGCCTGAAGAAAGACTCCAAGCTCAAATCACTGGAGATCGCCATCGAGCAGAAAAAAGAGGAGTGTAGTAAGTTGGAGACGCAGTTGCAGAAGGTAGGTTTGTGTTTTTCAGTGTAAGATTAAAGTTGTATATTTTTGTTGTATAAAGGCTTTTAAACCTGTTTTAAAGAAGAAGAATGTGATTTTATTTGCAGTGAGTTGAAATATCTACATTTTGTTTTGGGATAAATAAACTACCTAGCCTGGTAAAATCCAGCCCCTTGTTGAGGATCTGGAAACTCGGCCATTGAGAAGTGATGTCTTGCTGGAGGCGTGGACTCTGTTGAAGTTTAAAACGACTGGATCTGTTTTACCCAATCGCTAACATTTTGGACGTGACGTATGCAGTTTGTCAGCTCTACCGTGAAGGAAGYTAAGCTAAGAAGCTAACCAGAAATTACATGCACTGCAAACAAGAGAGAAGCACCGAGCTGAAGGAGATGGCTGTAAATGAGAGCTGCAGGCTTTGTGAGACAAATTTAATTTAATTTGGATGCCTTGTCATCACGGACTGCCTTCATTCACTTCCTCCGCTAAAGTACAAGCAGACTAAAGCGGCTCAGAAAATCAACATCAGCGTTCAAAACTCCTCCTTCTGTTCACTGATTGGCTCGGTTAAAATTCTACTGGGAAACTAGAATTGAGCAGAACTGTGTAGGAAGGCAAGGGCCAGGCTAGTAACTACCAACTTAAAGGACAAACCAAATTACAACTGGAGTCCCTTGACTTTMAAACACACAGTGTGATTTGAAACTTAAAATTTGACAGAAAGATTTTTGCTTTTTTATTGTTAAGAAGAAAAAAAACAGGTGAAGGCAATTTTTCATACATCTCAGGAAGCTGAGTTATGTAGTGCTGAGAGAATATGACATACTATAGCTTCATCAGCTACTCTGTTAAATTCCATCACAGGTTGTGTTTTTTTATTTGTTTTTTTTATTTGTTGTCTCATATAAAATGATCTCCTCTCAAGAGTTTTCTCTAGTGTGTTGATAGAGCTTAACAGTTAGTTTGGTGAACTTGGTGTATTCAGCTATGTGTTTGGATTTTGTCATCATGAGAAGTACACAGATTTGAAATGTTGAGATCAGCTAGAGACATTTTAGCTGCCATCCTTTGTTTCAGTGCAGCACAGAGCAGAAACCCTGTTAAAATACCCACATCCATCTTCTTCATCTCCATAATCCACAGATGATATCTGTTTCTCTGCAGTGTTGCTGTTGTTAACCTCTAACACCACGTTCTGGACTGAAACAGTGTTTTGTCTGTCCATCAAACATGTACTCTAACATTTCTGAACCTACTGTTATCTCCTGTGGCTCAAAATAAGCCCTAACATTTACTCTTCCTGGACCCCCCCCCCCTCCCTTTCAATGTCCCTTCCTCGCCCTCTCGCCTCTCCGTTCACTATGTAGCAAGCTGAGCAGCTATTCAGTCACATGAACAATCCTGTAAGTCCGTCTCTTGAGGCCTGTGCGGCACATGTTGAACGCATGAAGACACAGAGAACTTCTTTGAAATCTGCTAGATCATGGCAAATCCCAGCACAGGCACTGCTTCCTCCCATATCCACATGCATGTTGCCCCATTGCATATTATGAGCTTTACAGTGCACCGAGAGTCCTGTGTGTACTCTTTCTGTGACTGTTGGTGTGTGTAATGTGTGGTGAAGCTAGTGAGGTTTTTTATTTCTCTATCAGTTGAAATTTGCCGTAACGCTACAGAAATTCATGCGTTCTCTCTGCTGGAACATCGAGTGGAGGTGTTTATTTCAGTTGTACATGACATTCACAGTCCTGTAGAACACTTAACWAGAGCTGACACTCGTATCATTGTCTGACACGTCATTACGCAGCCACGACTGTCACATTTAGCTGTAAGTGGTTGTTGAAGGATCCAAACGCAGGCAAGCAGGAAGGACCAAAAACTCAGACCTTAATTGTGGCCCATCACATCAAAACGAGGATTAATTCCAAAAGTGGTATATGGAGAAATAGGCAAATATAGTGTTTTGACTAAAATCTTAACAAAAGTTGCATTTTGTCAAAACATAATGAATAAATGCTTATCAATGTATCATTTGAATGAACTGTCTGAAATATAATCTTAAAACAAATTTTTGAAGCACTTTTTTGAGAAGTAGCAACAAAAAACCCGATTTAGAGGAAAAATGCCTTAAAATTTAGAGATTTTTGCTGTGAGCTAGCAAAGTTTTGTTTCTTTTTAGGTGGGAAATCTCAAAATTCAAATATAATTTGAGGTTTCCTCTTTATAAGGTCATCAAAAATTCCTCATTAAAATGACATAAAATAAGGATTCAGACCAAATATTTATGTATTATTGTAACCATCAAGACAAATTAAGTCATATACATGGATTTACTTATGATATCAGAATGATCCAGGTATCAAAATGTAGCTTTTAAAGCCAAGAATCTGAAAMTGTGATAAGGTCATTTTGACCAAATTTGACTTAATCCTCATTTCGATATGTCGGGTCACAATTATCAAATCAGGTATCTACAAGAGCAGACCGTAACAAGAATAAGATTAGCAGGGAGGGTCTGAAAAAGAAGTGAGGAAAACCAGGGTGTGCATGAGGGAAAGATGGTTACTGAATAACAGCTGGTGTGCTGATTACTAAACACAGGAAGCTTAATGAAATGAAGAACTATGAGGAACATCTAGCAGTAATGATAGTAAAACAAGCTAAAACTAAGAAGTTCAAAATATGAAATGGGGTTCTACAGAAAAGTTGTGAACACTTAACATTGTACTGCTGTTAGATACCACTTTAAAAAAACTGTTTTAAGAACTAAAGTTTAATCCTGACTGAAATGATGAGCTCGTGGCCACACTGCAAAAATTGTCCATCAAACCAAATCTTGCCATCTTATATCCAGCCAAAAAATATTTTTGATCTTGTTTTGAAACTGATACATTAAGCAAGAGCAGAATGTGTTTGATTATTAATTTTGTTAGCCTGTAAATGTTTCCTTTTTCAAGAAGTCGTACCAAGTTCAATTGTCTTACTGCATTGGCAGATAATTTATTTTTATTTGAGAAGATTCAGACTATAATCTAGTATTTTTAAACTTCTTTTTAGATGGCTGTTTGCAGTAATTGCTTCTCTCTTAAAACAATAAAAAATTGTGTTCTTCATGTGAATACTATTATATAAATCATAACCATCACTGTCAATGTATTACACAGTTATTTTTTGCAGGAAAACGTAAGGTTATGAATATAACCACGGTTCCTTTTCAGTCATTTCACTCAGTACAACACATAGTTGTATATGGGACGCGCGCCCTCGCGCGCCTGGCTGAAGCCACCTCTAATCRCGTCTTTAGACCGGTGACGTGGTGACGTTGAACGTCGGGTGACAGGCTCCACCTTCACCCTATAAGTTCGGAGTCACCAGCGTCATTACTCAGTTAGATACCGCCCTTCACCGAGCCTTTTGTGATGCGGGGCCAACAAGGTGTTGTACTTTGTTTCATTCCTTCAAGGAACAGTGGTTATATTCATAACCTTACGTTCCTTTTCAGTCATTTCACTCAGTACAACACACAGTTGTATATGGGACTTGTCAAAGCGCAGAGCAGTATCAGACCTGAGTTAAGTAGTGTTCCTGAGTAAGTACTGTACTAATGCAGAGCTTTGGACCCGGCAGAAAGTACAGAATGAGCCACTGAAGGTGCTGTTACATCCCGGCTGTAAAATCGTGCAAATGTGTTTGGTGAGGCCCAGCTGGCCGCGGCACAAATGTCACTCACAGGTACCCCTTTAAAACGGGCCCAAAATGTCGCTACACCCCTGGTGGAGTGAGCTTTAACTCCAAGAAGGAYTGGAAGGTTTTTGCTGCTGTAATGCTAGCAAGATGGCCTCTACAATCCAGTGACAGAGTCTTTGTCTAGAAAGAGGTTTACCTCTGTGTGGGTTAGCAACAGCCACAAACAGCTGATCACATGACCTTACATCCTGTGTGCGGCTGATGTAAGTGCGTAGAGCACGTACGGGGCACAGAAGATGCAGCCTCTTTTGCTCCTCAGATGCAAAAGTGGGTGGTGGAGGTGAAAGCTGGAAAGCTCTATAGACATAGAGCTGTAACTAGAAGGTATCACCTTAGGAAGATACGCAAAGTTAGGGTGCAAAACCACTTTAGAGTCAGTAGAAAACTGGATACAGGAGGGGTTCACTGACAGAGCGTGGAGGTCCCCGACCCGTTTAGCTGTAGCTAAAGCCAGAAGCAAAGCAACTTTATATGAAAGAAACTTCAACTCTACAGACTCTAGAGGCTCAAATGGAGGGTCACGGTGAGCCTCAAGAACCACAGTGAGGTCCCAAGAGGGAATACTGGGTTTAATAGCAGGCCRYAGCTTACGAACCCCTTTCAGAAAACGCACGGCTAAAGGATGAGCACCATGTGTGACTCCATCAAAACCTACATGGCAGGCAGAAATGGCTGCTAAGTAGACTTAATTGTGGAGGAAAGCCCTTTATCCAATAGCTCCTGAAGAAATGTTAAAACATCTCCTATTGCGCACTGAAAAGGGTCCAGGTGCCCGTTCTTAAACCATCGCTCAAAAGCTTGCCACTTATAGGAAAATAATCCTCTAGTGGATGAAGCTCTTGCGTTTTGGATGGTTGCTATTACTGCTGGAGAAAGGCCTTTGGCTAATAAGCTGGACCTAGTTCTGGGTGTGGGTGAAAAATCTCCCCCTCTGCCTGAGAG